ACATGAAAAATTTTACATTATGATTTTTGAAGTATTTTAAAATTGATTGTTTTTTATTAAACATTTATTGCATAAAAATTATGAGTTATAATATATTTCTTAGTATATTATTATATAAGACCAAAATTTTGGACTAAAACTTATTGTTGACCCATCTTTTTATTTATAATAAGCTTGTAATACAGAAATGAACCGATAATTATGCCAAAGAGATTAATAATGACATATACTTAATATTTAAACTCACACTTAATTGAAACAAGTTCCAAAGTTTTAATCTCACAAATATTATAGGTATGTATATACATAAATACTTATGTAGGTACATATATTATTTATGTAAATATTTTTGTATTCCAACATAATTTCTTCACGATTAGAAAAGCAATTCAAAAGATAATAACACCACAATTTGTATTTATTATTCGTATATCCGAATCAGACGTTGTTGTTGCGAAATTAAGTCAAATTACGTGGCGATCCTAATTTTATTAGCGATTTGAGCTAATGTAGGTCATTAGGTTTTGTATGGGATAAAACAATGCCTGGGTGTTATTTAGATAAGATATTTATTATTTAAATCGAGGCGAGCGGGTACGAGCGTTAAGTATAGACGATCTGGTAATTCGTTAATGAACGGTTATCAGCTCAAGACGAGGTCAACGGCGAGACTCAACGAGATTATGTGGACGTCGCCGGTCTTTTATTATTAATAACAATCATCATATTCAGGTTGTCCTATACAAATTCTATTGCTTTACATATGGAGACAACACGTTAGTTCATATTACTTACCTATATCCCATTGGCAATTCTGAAAATACTATATTATCGATGACTCACAGGATATGTCAGTTTTTCCATCGATATAAATAAAATTTTCGAAATTTGAAACGTTAGGTTTTTTTTATAATTATTTAATATGAGATTTAATTTTTTTTTAAATCTCTTTTATTACAGTTTTGGAAGGAAGAAACAGAGTTACATCACTGCACTTATTAACTATGTATAAGTCTGGTTTTTATTTTTATATATCCATGAATACTCTCCTCCCCAGAATGAACACAACAATGTACAGCTAACCAAATTTAACCAGTTTTTTAATCAGGATCCAAATTCCTAATAACACATGTTCATTCAAACATCCGTAAGTACATAAATACATTTTAAAAATATGAGCATCCATTTTGTTTTTTTTTCAACAACAGTAAAAAAACTTTATTTTCAATTTAAAAACTCCGTCAAAACTTTTAAGTGAACTCTTTTGTAGGATTCATAGGTATTTAAAAAGAGATTTTAGAGATTTTCGAGATATCATTAAAAATTAAAACAGTGCATTGATTTAGTTTAAATTATAAATCTTACCAGTCATGCTAAAAATAAAATTTTATTTAAATAAAGAAATACTGTTTTAATTTAAAAAAAATCCTCGTTACTTGTTAGTTTTATATAGGTACAATATTTGAAGTTATTCAAAATGAACATATTTAAAAAATTATGCCAGGTTATTTCAAAACCCTTTGTGCTAAAATCATAAATTATACTGTAAACAAGTTGATTCAATTTGTAATATAACGTGCAAAAACCGTTGAACTAGTGATTAATCCGCCATATTAGTTAATTACGGTCCGATTGCTGACATCCTCATCCGCCTCCGAGTTACGCTTCACTCACTTTCGAATAATTGCATACAATCGCCCGATGCACAATAGTTTCTTTATTATTTTACTAGTAGTACTTGCAATCGATATTTTTTTATACTTCATTACTAACCCGCGTCTCAATTAAGTGTTGTAGCATTATCGATTTTTAAATTATATTGAATGAATAACAGATTATAAATATGAGAATGAAGACAAACAAATATGTTGTGGTTTATTAAATATGTATGTTTTACTTGTATGAAATAGTGTTTTTATTATTTCATTTAAGTCAAGGCGTCCGTATAGCGTGTAAGCCGCGGGCGGTGGGCGTTTGACCGTTAGCCAATGGTGTACGACCACATCAACCATAGAGCCTCCAAATATGGTTTATTTTTACAACACTTATATTAAATTCAGTTATTTGCATAATTCAGCCATTCGGGAATATTTAAGCCCTTAACGAATAAGTTATATACCTTAAAAGGTAGGCAAATATTAACAATGTATGTTAATATTTTTTACTCTGTTGTCTAATATTAAGTAAAAATATTTTGTTTGCTGTACCTATATATAGAACGTTTTTGATTCAGATCTTTCCAGGCATTGGTGTTTTTTCATCAGATTTATATTATTATTACCATATGTTTCAGGATTAAAATGAATAATAAAGATAAAAGCCTTTATACTACTAGATATGTATTGAAAAGTAGGACCTAGCTAGATATATCAAATTAAAATTGTTGTGAGATTATTCATTTTATCGAAAGTTTTATCGTTACCGTCTTAGGTATCCGAGCCATGTTTCTTTCTTTTCAAGAGCCCTGTTTCTTTCTGACATTTGTATTGAATACCGCTTCACGATTAAAGGCTCTTTGTTATAAAGAGAAAATGCCTGATGAAAGGTCAATGCATACTTCGTACATACAAAGGTTGATGTTGGATCTTAAACATTCTCTCCAAGTTTAACTGATATAATTAGATTTTCAGGATATGTAACTACTAGGGTTATTGTTGGTACTGATTAAGAATAAGTATGAAAAAAACACCACTGCCATACTACGAGTTTATTTAGTTATTTAATGTACAAAACTATATTAGTACCGGTCACAATTTATTAGTGTGATACCTTAGAATTGTCGGTATTAAGTTAAAATGCAAATTCATAGTAAAGCGTACCTGCTGGTATCGATCTCTTTTAGTTTTTAAAGCACAGCTAACATTAATATAGTATAACAATAGTTTCTGTTTTTCTTTTCTCAAAAATAATTTTGTTTTCATGAAATACAAAAAACAAATTTGCTTGCAAATAACAACAAACATTTTAAGTTTTCCTATCCATTTCCATAGCAAAAAAATAGAAATATATATTATATTTCTTTTCTCTTGTAGGAGATAGTCCTAATTTTAACTTTCTGCTAACTATATACAACTATGATATCTAATCATATCTTTCGACTAGGTACATATATGAAATGAGGTAAGAAGGTTAAACAAAATGTTATTTACTTGCCACTATAAATAAGTAAGTTAACGTTTAAGTATCTATAATTTACCAAATTATCTGGATTTGCTTCCAAATTACATTACATACGAATTTTCATTCCATTGTTAATTTTCCACACAGATCTGTCAACAAGATTGCTTTTCAAGCGACTGCTAGATTTTCTTTTGTTTTTGGTATGTTGAAAATATGCCAAGCTATAGTGATTCTACTCTTTTTTTTCTTTTGGTATAAAATTTGCTTTGATTTTATCCACTAGGAAATTGATGTTTGCTCGTTTATGTCTATTCCAAATAATTTATAAATACCTATTATTCAGGATAAAAATTATGAAAGATTATAAATTATACTCTCAATAATATAAAACTACCTACCTACTAAAAATAGTTATAGTCTTTACGAAAGCATCTTACAAATTTTATCGCTACCTATTTAATAACACTTAACTATTTTCTTTAAGTAGGTCTAAAGTTTAAAAGAAGAGTGAGGACTTTTTAGAGATAGATTAATGTTGCAATATACTTTTGTACACACACTATTTCTCTATTTATCATTAAAAAAAATTACTCCATAACCGGAAATATCGATTAATAAGTATATATAATTTTTATCAATGTAGAATTTTAAATTATTAGCCCAAGTTTCCTCACGACGTTATCCTGCACCATCTATCAGTGGTGTCTAAATACACTTAGAAAATAAACTCAAACTCAAATAACTTTATTCAATATAGAATCATTACACTTTCTTATTGATGGTCACTTGAGACATTACCACCGGTTCGGAAAAGAAAATACCCTGACCACAAAAGAACCGGCGAAAGAAACTCAGCGGTTTTTTTATTTTATTATTTTTTATCTTTTTATTTTTTATACATATGACTCAGAAAAATCACATTGGTACTTCCCAGGTTTCGAACCTCATGCACATGATCCCGCCTAAACCTCTGGGCCACTACGACTAAACCAAACCAAAACAAGTCAAAACTAATTTTAATAATTTCTGATTAGAAAACGGCTTCAAAAAGCTATAAATTTACAATACTTAAAAAGCACCCACTGCCCAAAATCCACATTATATGTTATCATGAAATCTTATCAAAAAAATATTAATATAGAAAACAAGGGAAACTTACATCTATTAAACTTACTTATTTATTTTGTTTATATATTTTTACTTTCCACATCATAAATCATTCGGTAACAAGAGCTAAATAACCTGCGGACTATGTTAAATTTTTTCATTTTTTGTCGAACTTTCATTCTTTTTCCTAAGGCAGAAATATCATTTCTACCAGCCTTTTCTTTTTTTTAGGATAGGTCTCCTTAATTTTAAATATTTAATAATAATTATTTTTTAAGATCAGTGATAAATGATAATCATAGACACGATAGATGCAGTTAAGACCAAAGAGCATACCGAATATGTCGCACGTCATGATTTGAAGCAATTAACTTACTCGACACTAAAAATCATATCTGACGTTATTGAATTATATTTTCAGTAATCACAAATCAGGAAAATTATTTGGCTTACAATTTTATTTGGAGGGCACCAAGGTTAATAAAGTGTAAAATAACCTTCCGATTAAACAGAAGACGATAAAGGCATAGTGTATGGAATACTAGGCTTAGTTTTGATTATATTTAAGTAATAGACAGTTAAAAGAAAGAAGCAACTATTTGTGGACCACTTATAAAAACGCAAAAAGTATGTAAAAATAATCTTAAAATACTTATTAAAATAGTTTCCATTCAATTTAGAGCCAATTATAATTATGATAATATCATAATCATGATAGATGAGTTTGGTGCGTATTTAGTAACCAAGTTTTATAATCTCAGAAGCAAACAGCAATGGACCCAAGGCGCGCTGATCGTGAACGTCGCTACAAACCTCCTCCACCATCCTCAGCTCCTGCAGAAGACCTTACTACGGATTATATGAACATACTCGGTACATAACAAACTCTTGACCTACTTTTATAATTCCATTTAAAACAATCATAATAAAGATAACTGATAAGTTGTAGAGTCTCAAAAGTAGCCACTTAAGTCCTTAGAATTATTAAAAAATAGTATAACAACCCAGCATAATTCTAGAGTAAAATATATGTCATAATTTTTATTTGAAATTATTTGGTGGATTAACAATTATACCATCTCTCTATATACTTATTCTCTCTATTCTTCCTTCTATGACCTAAGTTATTCTTATTACTACTTGAGAAATTATTAGTTAAAGTATCCTTACTTTTCACAAATTCATATCATTGAACTAAATACTGAGTCATGTTTGATTCAATTCTAAACCTATATGGATACTATGAAGTATGAAGAACAGTACATGAAAAGTAGAAAGACTATATTAAATTGGATGAAATGAATTTTCGGTAAGGTTATAAAAATAGTGGTATTTATTAACAAAAATTTAAAAATTATAGGTATGGTGTTTTCAATGTGTGGACTAATGATGCGTCTCAAGTGGTGTGCTTGGACTGCTGTATTTTGTTCAAGCATAAGTTTTGCCAACTCAAGAGTGTCTGATGATACAAAACAAGTAAGCAAAGTTTCTTATGAATTATTAGAGAGGTTTAATACATAGGGAGATTAAGTTTAAATTATATAGTAAAAAGCAATAAACCTGTAAGTCAGTGGTGGCCTAGTGGTTAAAAGGCCTGCCTCTCATGCATGAGGATGCGGGTTCGATCCTGGCAAGTACCAATGTGATTTTTCCGAGTCATATGTACTTTCTAAGGGTATTTAGAGATCACTGATTAATGCATTCCCAAAGAGGGTTGATGTCAGGCAGGCAGCAGGTCGTAAAAAACAATTAGCTAAAACTATTCACGACATGTAAGGCAGTCCCTGGCTAAAGCTGTGAAAGTGCCAGGAAGAAGTAAAAAGCAATACATTTTCTTATAACAATAATATTTTTGTTTCAGATTGTTAGCTCCTTCATGTTATCAATATCGGCAGTTGTGATGTCATATTTGCAAAACCCAGCTCCGATGTCCCCACCATGGGCCGCTCTAGCTACTTAGTAATTGTTATATAAATGATTACTTAATGTAAAGATTTTGTTGGTTATCATACATACTTATTTAATTTGAAATCTTTCCTAGTATACAATATGAAGTGTTTTAATTATTCAATAATAAATTTTATCAATTTTAAAAAACGTATTTAATTTATAGAGAAATACATGAAATTTGAAACATTTAATAATATATTGATTCCATTGAAACTTCCTAAAACATACATAACAAACACGATCCATATTCTTAATATTTCTACAATGCAAAGTTTATATCAGAAAGCTAAAATGTTCCAACTGTTTTAATCTAAATGAAACTAATATTTTCGGATTTACTACGTGATTTTTTTATCACATCTCGTCTGCCCGTTATCACAGTTGCTGTAAAGTAGCCGAAACGTCGGGAGTATGTAGTTTATAGACAAAAATAAAAAATCGCGCTTAGTAAATCCGAAAATATTAGTTTCATTTAAAGGGATACTCGCGAAAATCTTAGGTCTCACTATGTTTTAATCTATCCAATAGATTGAGGTCTGTGATGTCTAATACGACCAAAGGTCAAATATTATGACAGTGACGTTTTCTTACTAATAGTTCCATCTGTCTTAATATTACACTGTATGCGTGTTTCAATATTTCAATTAGTTATTTCGTAATTAGTAACTAGATTTTTAATAAAGTAATAAGTAAGTTTTTTATTTGTTAGTATATATTTTCTATTCATGAAGTCATAAATTATCTCACTTTTTAAATAATATACATATTAAGAGTTCAGAGGTTATTTTATTAAGTACATCTCCCGGCAATACTAAATCATTTATAAAATAATGATAATAAAATGCTGAACACGTTGTATATATTAATAATTATTTAAACAATGTGTGAAGTTAACTTTATTTGTAATAACTACCATTTCAATGGGCTAACTTTTTTTTACTTGAACATACTGGTTATTCTATTTGCCAAAATTCACACTATTTTATGACACAAAAAAAAGCTTTATTTTTTGATTAAATAAATACCTTTCTCATTCCAGAATGCCTCCTAAAAAGGTTGAAGAACCAGAAAAGAAGCCACTAATTGGCCGAGTGGGAACCAATTTAAAAGTGGGTATTGTGGGAGTACCAAATGTTGGTAAATCTACATTCTTTAATGTGCTCACAAAAAGTCAAGCTGCAGCTGAAAACTTCCCTTTCTGCACAATTGATCCAAATGAAAATAAGTACCATTTTATTTATATTTATAACAATAGAGTTATGCTTATAGATATTTATTTATATTTTCATCATAAACACACAAATGTATATATATGCTGTTATGTTCAATTTTAATATGAAAGCACCATTTATTTGGAATCTGTGGGATGTTAGATTATTGTAAAGGTATACTTTAGAAGATAAAATTAAAATAAAGTAGTATTCTAATTTAGACTTTGAAATATTTAATCATGTTATCACAGAAAAAAATTAAGATAAATCACAAAAAATTCAATCAAACTAATGTTTGATATTTATAAGATAAACCTTTTGACAATTTATATATCACCCGATTATATTTTTTTAATTACAATCCATTAATAATTATTTTAAGTAAATTAAGAAATACACCATCTTGTATGATTCTTCATTCTACTCAGGCCATAATTTTTTATATATATTGTAATTGTACAGTTAGCTCATCTGTCATAATATTAAAAACTATATTGTCGATTTTTGAGACTGACATATAATATATGAAAATATTATTCAATTGTTTTCTCTGTCGACATCGTCTCAATTTTAAGAATTCAATGAAATGGCAGAAAAGAAAAATCAAAGAAATTATACTATTGAGTTGAATGATATAAATAATATAAATAATCTTAATATTGAAAAAGGTGTTGTGGGTTATAGTGATGTATATGAAACATTTAAACAGAAAAAGGATGATAATGATAAGAAGAGATCCCTGGCGGCTGCAACCCTTGGTTTAGAAAACACTGATATTCCACTGCCCGATGACCTTGAATATTATACAGGCTGGACTGATAAAGATGCCCAAGAATGCTATTTACTATCTAAACCAAAAACATATCTTATTCTCGGCAAGCAAGGTTGTGGAAGCTATAATTTGGGAGAAGCATTGGCAAAAAAAGTTAACTGTCCGCATTTGTGTCCGAAAAATGTTATTCAGGATGAAATAGATCAAAAAAGTTCTGTAGGCAAGTGTTTGGATTACAACATGAAGCATAATAAAGTCAGCAAAAGTGATATTGTTATGAAAATTATAAAAAACAAATTAGAATCTCCTGCAATAAAACATCGTGGATTTATAATATCGGGAATACCAATGGTGACATCTAGTCTAAAAATGCAATACTATTCTGATAATTTGTATGCAGAAGAGTCAATTACTATTGTAGACGACATTCTGTTCGACGTGATATATAATTTAAAAAGAAAAAAACGGAGAGCCAAAAAATCTTCGCCACATTCCTCAAAAAGCAGTTTAAACGAAGAAGGAGAAATTGAACCTGAGGAAGAAGAACAGGAAGCAGAAGAAGAGCAAGAGGAAGAAAATATAGTAGTTGAATTACCAAAGTACTTATTAGAACCCTGCAGTGACCTAATATTTGTTTCTAAACCTTATTACACAACGAAAGAGAAAATATTACTGGATCAAGTTCAGGAATTCTTTGGTTTCAAGCCTGATATTGTCATTTATATATCTTGCCCTCATTCAGATGTGATTATAAAAAGAACACACAAATTGCTTAATTACTCAAATAGTTCTAGCACTTTCGCTCCCTTTCCAGCAAATATTGAAAATGATCTTCGTTGGCCAGCTCACTATACCATGCTCGACTATAACAGGGGAATTGATAAACATACTTTTAATCCGAAATATAACTGTAAACAACCTACAAATTTTACAACGAACTCTGCGGAACAAATCTGTAACTATAAAAAATATGTTACACCTCTAATAGAAGAGAAATTGAAAGAATTTGACCCCAGATATGTTATAAAAGTAGACGGAAGGACCACTATTCAACAAATGATGAATATTATAATGGAAAGATTGCTGACATTGCCCATTAAACCTGTGCTCCTACCAGAGCCATTGTATATCGACGAGCCTCCGGATGATATAGAAGAATTTTGGAAGACTGTTGAAGAATTAAACGTAATTCGCAGTGGCTCCTTAAGCTTTAACCGATACGCTTCACCGTGGTACAACCGATGTCCAGTTGAGTTACGGAAAAGAAGATCAACACAGGGAAATCCAAAATTTGCGGTTACATTTTTTAAACATGTCTATTTATTATCCTCACTCGATGCCATGGTTTCCTTCTGCAGAAATCCGAGACCCTATTTACAACTTAAATATTTAGAACCAACGTGTCGAATGATCGTCATAGGTACTAAGAGTTCTGGAAAGACAATGATAGCTCAATGTTTATCTTGGATTTTTACGACCCCTGTCATATGTTTCGAATCATTTTTAAAAACTGAAAAACAAAAAAAGTATGATTCCTATGCAAAAAATATTTTTTCTGAAATAATCGCTACGATAGAAGATAATAGATTTTCAAAGTGGCAAGCTAAGGAATTGCAAAGAGTGTCTGACTTAAACACGTGGTATAACGCAGTATCCAGTGCACTTTCTTCTTACATTCCTATTTTGAAAAAAGCCTTAGAGAATGAAGGTGAAGATGGTGAGCAACCACGTTCAAAAAGATTCTATACTTTAAGAAACCAACTTTCCTATTTACCTGTGGATGATTTAGAGGAACTTGGAGCTTTACTTAAAGACAAAAATGCTTTGTTAGAATTCGCTCCTCATCATCTAATAACGGAAATTGACAAACCAAAAACGCCAGTCCTTGGAGATGAAGATGTCACGAACGAAATTTCGTCATACATTGTGACAAACGATCTACAAAAAGATATAGAACCGACTACTGAAGAATTAATGAATGAAATTATTAGAATCTTAAAAAACATTGATAAGACATCTCTAGACGATACGGGTCTATTTTACGGAAAATTTATAATCGATGGATTTCCATCGGATCCTGAATATTGGGGATATTTGGTAGAATCTGGACTTTTACCTGATTATACAATCGCAATAATAGAAAATAGAGAAATTGACGCAGATATTGTTCAGCATTACATTAATATAGAAAAATATACGAAAAATCATCAAGAAAGGTTCCTTTTGTCTTCTGACGTCCTAGTAAAAACTAAACTTTTACATGATGAACCACCGGAAAATAAATATTTAAATATGCAAATAATAATAGATAATTTAGTCTTAAAATTATTTGACCCTGACTCCACTGATGACGTTGCAAATGAAACTGAAAAAACACCGGATGCAGATGCAGTAACAAGTTTTACTGAAACAATAGAAAAGTTTCGTGAAGAATGGGAAGTATCTAAATTAAAACTGGAAGAAAATGAAAAATGTTTTGTTGAAACAGAAATTGAAGACAAGAGTGATATTGACATTATAGATGAAGTTTTAAGGAAAATTCGTAACTGTTATTTTAATCCTTGTATAATAATAGAAGACGGATTGGATATTCCGGACGATGATAGTGAAATAACTAAAGATGTTTTAACCTACAATGAGCCGCGGTTTCTAGGAGAAACAAATATTTACTGTCCATTAGCTTTTTATGACTATGGTGTACTGTGGGAAGGTAAATCGGAGCTGGCAGCATCTTATGACAATAAAACATACAGCTTTAGTAAAGAAGAATGCGTTGATCTCTTTCAACGTGACGTAAAGAAATACCTTTGTTACAATAAACCATACAAAAATGATGTACCGCTAAGAATATGTGTAATAGGTAACATAGGCAGTGGGAAGACTTCCTTTTCTCGTATAATAGCAAAAGAGCTGGGACTATTTCATATTGATTTCGAAGATTTTATAAATAAATATTTGATACCTAAACATTTTAAAAAAGTTGGATGGCAGTATGAGAACAGTTTTACTGATACTCCTGTGGGCGAAGAAGAAGTCGTCGAGTTTCAAATAGATGAAGAAAACTTAAACTACATTTCGGACATAACGTTTAATGAACAAGAGTTAAGGAGAATTATTTACAATTACATTGAACATGGATCCCCCCTAATGTCTCCATTATTACAGCCCTTAATAAAAAAGTTATGGCATGAACAGCCATTTAATAACAGAGGCGTCGTAATTGATGGTTTTCCAAAACTACCAAATGATGTTGAAGATATGATCTCATGTTTTTGTATTCCTGAAATTGTAATAGAAATAGAATGTGATTCAGAAACTTCACTTAATAGAATTTCTCCTAAAATGTTTAAGCAATGGAAACTACAACTTGCCGAAGCTAAACTAAAAGCTAAAAATAAGCTAGACAGAGAAAAACAGGAATGGACGAATTTTGTGACTAAAACTGTAGTAATTAAATTAATTATTGATGACATCTTAGGAGAGGCAGTCAACGAAGAAGAGCCGATAAAAATATCATCTGTAGAAAGTACTATTTTTGACGCTAATCCACTGGGATCAGCCAACGTAGATGTTAATTTATTTAAAACATACAATGAGCTCATACAAGATTATCCAGAACCAGTTGACCAAAATGTATGGGAAAATGCTGATGATGTACTTGAACAAATAAACAACAGAATAGAAAGTATCTTTGAAATAGACGATGAAAATATTCAAATATGAAAGATATGCTACTTGAAAATAAAATAAAAATTGTGTCTGTGGATGGCAAAAAATCCAAACAAAAAGTTCAACGTAAAATATTATCTAAATTGTCATATATAAGAAATAAGACGCCCTCATTTTTAGAACAAACATTTATTGTAAATTGCGATATAGCAGAAATGCTATTATTGGAAGGGTTTTACCTTCTTAGTAAATTTTACAGAATGTGTCCTGTGTTCATATCGGAAAACCCTGAAACAAAGTTCAATCCATATAGTTTGAATAAGCGTAAAAATAACGTGTTCCCCATAATTCATCGAGCTTATATATATTTTATTTCTTCTGAGGATAATGTTAAAAAATTCAGAAGAGACCCTTTAAAATATATAATTAATGACCAAATAATATCTTATAAAGAACATCCACTGCGCATTGGTATAATTGGCCCTCCTAAATCTGGAAAGAGCACAATAGCTGCAAAGCTTGCAAAAAGATATGGATTGCTATGTATGTCAAAGGGAATGGCTATCCGTCATATCTTAGAAAACATGGATTGGACTACATTAGGGTTCCAAATTAAAAAGTTATTAAGAGAAGGCAAGTGCATAGATAATGAGTTGATTATGGCAGCTGTTCTAACAGCTTCCATTGATCACCGTACGATGACTAATGGTTTTGTATTTGATGGCTTTCCTGAAACACCTTTTGAGATTTGCCAATTGCTAAAGTATGGCCTGTACCCCCTTATAATTTTCGACGTCAAAAGCGATGAAAATGTTATATTAGATAATTCTCAAAATGAAATTTACCCAGACATATTAAAAATAAAACCACCCTTCTCACGTCCTTTCATTAAAAACAGATATGATAAATGGCTCGAAAAATCCCCGACTGTGAGAAATTGGATAGATACGGATACGCAAAACTTATATACAATAAATGGAAATAATTCCCAATGGAACTGTTTTCTAGACGCATATACTAAAATAGAAGATATAAACAAAGATATTCATTATTATTTAAGCCACGTAAATTCAGACATTGTAACCACAAAAGTAATGTGTCTATCTAACGAAATGTTTGAACAACGAATGTCTTGTTACAAAAACCTTTGCCCACTTTGTTTCCATAAAAATATTATAAGACACAATGGATATCCCGCTGACAAGAAAGGTGTAGTTCAATATAAAAACAATTTTTATTGGATATGTCCTGAACATCTAGATATCGTGCTTGAGTCTCCAGAAGATTTCTTAAGTCCCGTTACAATTGAAATACCAGAAATACCAGCAGTGGTTACATCCATTAATTCTTCTCTAGTCTACGAAAATGGCATATGTATTGTAACTTACGCTGAAAATCTTCCATCTCAAAAACTTGTTCGAGGAAAAAACGAATTTGCTGCTACATATAAGAAGTGCACATATTTGTTTTGCAGTTCTGAATGTTTGAAGATGTTTTTGGCCCGACCTCATTTTTATTATGATATAAAAGTTTTTAAAGACACAAGCGTTTTACCAAAACTTTCATTAAGTAAATTACCTCATCTTGGTTACTTGGAGCAAACGATTGGTAACATATTGACTGAAGCATGTTGTTCAGTAAATGTCCTTAGACCAAAATATCCCGGTTTAGACACCCGTTTATCCGGGATTTTGTACATAGCACTATACCTTAAGATTCATAATCCGAAGACTAACCAATTAATTTTGCCGATTTATTTGAGAACTTTAAGAAGATATGAATCTAAATGTAAACTAATAACAGAAATAGCGTTGCGTTTACGTTCAATAGATAATCCATTTGCATTTTATCCTAAATGTTGCAAAGGAATAAATAAAATTAAGCCAATTGATTCTGGCACTGTCAGGAAGCCTTCATCATATGTGTCATCTTTTAGTGTATTTTTTGACTCTGATTTTGAATAATAAACCGTTACTATAATAATATCAGTTTAATTTTAACCTGATGTAAAAAGAAAATCCGTTACAAATTTTTTTCCTTTTTACAAATATATACATAGGTATACATAATTCTATTTTTCGTGAACATTTCACTGTACTCCTAAAATCTGAAACGATTGAAACGAATATTTTTGAATAGCCCCAGATGGTTTATATTCACAATTGAGGCCGGGAGATGGAGTAACAGTCGGTATTTATGTTATTTAAAATGAATGGCTGCATGCAAGATATATATTTCTCTCTGAGAAATACTCGTTCACGAGGACGAAGTTGCGTGGATAAACTAGTAATTGGTTATCTAGTTTTTAACAATATGATGTAAATATAAATGTGTTATAATTAAACTCTCACCTGTGTCCCTTTTCACCGCTAGTATATATTTATCTTTTTCTTATATTCTTAAAGTAAAACTTATTATATGTATAAAGCGTGGCGTATTATAGCTGTGATTGATTTGAATGATTGTGTTGATTGTGAAATCATCACTCTAACACCGGTCCCCGACAATAATTACAGTTAATGGATTATTAAGTCGAAATAAAAACATGATATTATTTCACTCACCCCAAAAATTTATTTTAAAATTTTCCCTACTTTTGAAATACAAATATCTAAGAGATCATAAATAAACAACAAATTCCGTCGTTTTTAAAAGCAATCCTTCCTAAATCTTTTTATCTTATATCTTCCCTAGTACATAAAAGTGGACGTATCGATTACTAAGCAATGGTGCAATTTAGCTAACGTAAAAGATAACTAGCAAAATTATATTTGAAAAATTACATTAATTCACGCTATAAAATATTACATTATGATAAATATACTTTAATCTTCTAATTCGAAACAGGACATGTGTCTAGATTATTCAAGATATACGTTTTTGACACAATAAATAAATATGTCTCCAGAGAAAATATTGTAGTGTATCACTTTTAACACTACAGAAAACCATCAAAATTTTAAGTATCACAATGTGTTACAAGAGTAGACGTATATTTCAAAAACTAACTACCTATATCTTATTTCAGCACGTAGGGTACCAGTTCCGGATGAAAGATACGATTACCTCTGCCAGTATCACAAACCACTCAGGTACTATTATTTCTTATTTACTCGGACAATTTAATACCTTTTGGGTCTCTAATAAGAGCTAGAATAATGGGATATGTAGTTTTTTGTACAAAATTAATGTATTGAAATAAAAAATCTATTTAAGTAATTTTGCGTGGATAACTTTAAGGACTTTTAAGAAGTGCCACTTGTAATTTATTAATTTATAGTTGTATTAATAATAATCTATAAAACACATGTTTTATTTTGAAGAAACGTGTGCCTTATGTAAATTATACTGTGTGACATTTTTTACCCACTTACTGTGTATTGCTGTTTCATTAAATGCAAAATCATTTCCAGCAAAGTTCCTGCTTTTCTAAATGTTGTGGACATCGCCGGTCTTGTCCGAGGAGCTGCTGAGGGTCAGGGTCTAGGAAACGCGTTCTTATCACACATTAAAGCGTGCGACGCTATCTTTAATTTGTGCAGTAAGTAATTCTTAATACTTTTAATAAGTCTTCAAAAATAAAAAACTGCTGCTAATAACTAAACTTTTTTAAAATTTTTTTTTTTAACTGTTTTTATATTTTTATTTATTTATTTAATATATAATCTAACTGTCACAACAACACTTATTTATAAACTTGTTCACTTTTCAACAACACTTAATAAACTTGTTCAGTCTTCAATAATATGCTGAATGGTATACCTTTTTGGGAACTAAATTAGACGCATAAGTTTTATACGTGTCTCAAATAAAAACTTTATTTCTTTCTTTCTTTCTTTCAATAATATGTAACTAAATTAGACGCTTAAATTATAGTAAGGTATTTTTGGTGCTTCAAAAAGTTTGCTAACAAATCATAATTTTTAGGAGCATTCGATGATGAAAACGTGATTCATGTGGATGGAGAAGTTAACCCGATTCGGGATTTGGAGACCATTGGAGAAGAACTTCGGCTTAAAGACGAGGAGCAATTGATGCAGAACATTGAGAAGCTGGATAGAGTAGTGAACCGCGGCGGTGATAAGAAACTTAAACCGGAATATGTAAGAATATCATAAAAAATTCTTGACGATTGTTTTTTTGCTTGTGGTACCAAAATTTCTATATTTTATTTTCCCTTTCAGGAAGCCTTAGCGAAAATCAAAACCATTCTAGTTGACGAAAAGAAACATATACGTTTCGGCGATTGGAGCGCTGCTGATGTATGTATAATAATTATTTGATTTTATATTTATTTTGACTTAAAACTACATCACAATTAATTTTCCAGATAGAGGTTCTGAACAAATATCTATTCCTGACGTCAAAACCTGCATTGTATCTCGTCAATTTGTCAGAAAAAGATTATATAAGGAAAAAGAACAAGTGGTAAGTACTAACTACATTGTTATTAAATAAATGAGATATTATACTTTGGCTCGGTCATGTATGGAGAATAAATATTGAAGTTACCTAATGTTTTCCATAATTGTGTAAAAAGTACACGAATATATCTGTATGAAATTATAAGAATTGTTTAATGTATTCGATCATAAATATTATTTATAGGTTACCAAAATTAAAAGAATGGATCGATAAGAACGACCCCGGAGCGCCACTGATACCATTCTCTGGTGCTTTGGAAAGCAAGCTGATGGATATGGAACCTGATGAAAAGGAGAAGTTCCTTAAAGAAAACAACATCACAAGGTAAATTAAACAGACACACACACAGACACACACACACACACACACACACACACACACACACACACACACACACATATACTCAAACACTCATGCCCGCACACACGCATACATATATAAATACCATAACTATGATGTTTTCATGTTACACTTTATGATTTTATCTATCAACGACCACATATATTAAAATCATTTAAATGTAAAATAAATATATTTCTTTAATTAAAAACTGCAAAATATTAATTAACCAATAACTACACAGATAATATTAATTGTTTTATTTCTGATGAAGGTACAGTTTCTTTTAGAAATGTTTTAAATTTCGAACATCCAATTTTATATGAACATAGAGTATAATATTTTTTCTGTATTAAGTAAAAATAAAAATGTATAGTTCCTAACAAAAACAGATATACATATATTTCAAATTACAGTGCATTGGACAAGATCATTGTTCAAGGATACAAGGCTCTACAGCTGGAATACTTCTTCACAGCTGGTGCAGATGAAGTCAAAGCGTGGACTATTCAGGTACTTTAACTAATAATTTCATTTTAATCATAGCATTCCTAATTAATTTGTTATATACTAGTGTACTTAAAAACTTTTATATACTGTGAAATACTGCATACATTATCATTTTATTTATTAGATTGAGGTTTTTGCTGAATATGACCGTATTTAAAAATATAAATTTTGTTACAAAGTTTTTTTACATACTGCAGATAGCAAAAGAGAAGCTTCAAACAAATTATTCCTATTTACTATATTAAATAAAAAAATGAGACATTTTTTTTCTACCATACTGGGCTTCCTATGATTGTTTTAATAAAAATAGAGCCAAATAAATAACATTTCTATTGATCTAAAGTTGTATATACAGCCAAGATCAAGTAATGTTTCAACGTTAATACTATACATATTCATTTGGTTATTAGATAAAAATGTGGTTTCGATGATATGGAATAATTCTAAAAACTATAATACATATTTATTTTAATTTTTTTCTTTCAACAGAAAGGTACAAAAGCCCCTCAAGCTGCTGGTAGGATCCACACTGATTTTGAGAAAGGTTTCATCATGGCTGAGGTGATGCACTTCAAAGATTTCAAAGAAGAGGGCTCTGAGAGTGCTTGTAAATCAGCTGGGAAATACAGACAACAAGGTATATAATTATACCATATATACACACACACACACACACACACACACACACACACACACACACACACATATGTATATACATGTATATATGTTCCTTAAGACCTTGTTTATATAAGATTTAGTAAACAAATACTGATGATAGTATAATGCATTTGAGCAATCTTTTTGTTCTTGCATTATTAAACGTAATATTTACATTATACACATCAAATAACTGCATTTTTATCACTTAAATTATTTAATATTCTAAAATACATATATTGTATGTTTACTTAACATAGTACAAATAATGACATCTAAGACTTTCACGAGTATTTATTTAAAGGAAAGTAATATTTTATAATAATAACATATGTACACATAGTGATCCGAAAAACATTAGTATCATAAAATAACAATATAAATAATTTCAAATCATAATTTCAATGTATACACTATACATGTCTCTTATTCCTAAAATCAAATATTTTCAGGTCGAAACTACGTTGTTGAAGATGGTGATATAATTTTCTTCAAATTCAACGCCGGCGCCGGTTTGAAGGACGCTAAGAAGAAATGACGCGACAAGTTTCTGTTTCTTTTAGTACACATGTTGTACCTCAATCTGGCCTTGTATTCACTGTTACACGTCGCCTGATTATTTATTTTTGACTTTATTACAATGCATTAAAGCTTACATCTGTTTGATAATTACATCTCGTTTTGCATTTGTTACCTAAATACCTATATAAAATATATTGATGCATTTTTTTACATGTTTGTGATTTCAAATTAAGAACACTTATGAACATTATGTAGCTCTCACATTGTTTGAATAATAATAAAATAACTATTTCGAATGTAACGTTTTGCTTTCAGTTCTGAATTTAAACCTAAATATAAAAAGTGTTCACGCTAGAAGTGTACAGAAGTTTTTAAATACTATAAAATTACATATATTTTAATAATAACAATAATACTTTTATAATATAAAATTAAGCTTATTGTCGTTAAAAATTTTCTCTATTATATAACTTCTACAAATTCTTGTACGCGTGTGTCGCTCCCGAGGTCTGTTATGTCCTTTATTTCGCTAAAAACTTTTTCCAGTATCAAACGCAGCTGTTTAAGTAATTTCTTCACATTGGTCTTCGAGAGAATGTCTTGATCTGTGAGAGGTGCGAGTTTTTCTTTATCTTTGTCGGATTTTTGTAATATTTTGTTTAATATGTATGACGATCCCTGAAAAACGGCTTCCTCCCATTCCTAGAAACAAAATAATTATTCTGTAATAATATTAGAGAGTAATGAAATAAAAAGTAGGTAATTGAACTCGCCTGAAATTCATTATTCAATGTGTTTAACGACAGCATATCCTCAATAAGTTTTACGTTCGAATTATCAGGAATGGCATCTCTAAGTATATTCATTAAAAGATAACCCGCACCTCTTACACTGCCGCTGGCCCTGTAATGTTTCTTTTTCTATTACATATGATTTACCTAATTGTATATGTTCAAATAAAATTCATTTTTTATACCTCAATACGTATTCTTTGCTCTCCAATATATTGTTTGAAACGGTTTTAATGCGTTCGTAGGTGTCCTTCATGAGAAATTCTAAACTGTCGCAGTTACCAGGCGGGTGGGAGCCATATTGAACCAGAAGTCGTTTCTGAATCACGGTAAATTGTCTTTGAAGTACATTGAGCTCCTCCTATAATAATCAAAAAAGGAATGAAAAACTTTAATATTAAATTACCTCTATTATTATTTACATTTATTACCTGTAAACTTTTTAATATTATCCGTTCTTTCACGTGACCTTCGATCGACTTCAAAAAGGTTTGCATTATCTGTCTTATTATTTCTCCGTCAAAGTCACAGAATATTTGAAAATCTATAACTTTTCGATCCACGCGGTGATTAAGATTTTGTATGAAATATTCAACTATTGGTACTATTTCCGAAAATGTGTTCGCCTCTATTGAACATATACCATCGGAAATTTTCAAAGTCACAGTTTTATCTGAATTGTGATAGACGAAAGAAATAATGTTTTCGGATAAAAAGTCAGTTCCTAGTTCCTCTTCAGTAAAATCTGTAATATTAAATAAAATTAGTGAATACTATAAGTTCTGTATCTTCAAAGTATAGACAATTATCAGAGTTACACTCACCATTAACTATATCTTTGAAAGTTATTTCAGACCGATTTAACTTTATCGGTAATTTAAAGTCATGGTCTAATACTGGTTCCACAAATGAACAGAATAATGTTAGTGGTACAAACGCTGTTTTTTCTATTGTTCTTATTTTACCAGTTGCGTCAATGATCGTTAGAATAATCATTATACTTGTTCGTGTTACATTTAACGAGCCCAATAAATGAATAAAAGTCTCAATAATTTCTGTTCCATTTATATTCTCTAAGCAGACTGTGGTTTCAGAACTAACAAAAGGTGCTGTACAGTCATATGTAACTTGTATACTTTGGATTAATTTGGGCTCTTTTGTTGTAATTGTTACAAATACCGGGCAAACAGTGACCGGTTCCATAGTGTAGTCAGTTGAAGTTTTAATCGGTTTGCCGATAGTGATTTTACTTGTTATAACACGTTCTAAATCGGCGTAGGTTTCTTCAATTTCTATAAATTATACAACAGTCAAGATAATTAATACTTTAGATAAATATTAATTATTATTATTATAAACATAAATACCCTCTTTCGCGTCCAAAACCTTTTGTAGTGACTTTTCAACTTCATCTATTTGCAACTGAACCTCTCCAGGGTCTATAGTTTCGGTAATTGGGTTAGCATTGGAATTTAAATCGGGTTCCGTACCCAAATAACTGACAATTACCGTTCCGTCTTCTGACAACGTCACTATACCTCCCGACAAAGAGTTTAAGAAACATCGCGAAATCGATATAGCTTTATGATTCAAATCACAAGACCATAATAATTTTGTGTCCTCATATATATTCAGTTTTGAATCCTCTGACGTCACCATAACTAGTAATCTTGAACTAGGCTCTGAAAGCAATACTTTAGACAAAAATTTCCTTTTAACACTTTTCTTCTAAATATATTTAAAAATTGTTGTGTTACCATAATACCACCCAATTAAATACGCGAAGAAACACACGGGCATATAATCAAATCTGATCATATATTTCATTAGGCCATTATCCTGGAAACAGTAAAGATGTCGCTCACCTAACACCAAGATACTAGAAAAATTACTGCTACTCTGAAATATAAGTAGTAGTCATGAAAATCCAATTATTATTTAATAATAACATGAGAATATGCTTATACCTACACGAATAACTTGGACAGATAGAATTTCTTCTCCCGCGTTATAAGCCCATTGTGGAATATGTTTATTATTTTGATTAAAGCTTAACTCACTAAACTCGCTGAGCTGTTGGTAACTACAAAAAGTTACTTCCATAATATGTACCTTTAATTTATCTTTTATATTTATTCACCGATATAAATATCTGTACTTCTACCTGTATATCTCAAACACCCAAGTTGACTTGCAAATAACAAATTGATCGCTGTTCGCTACGTAGCATATTGGCCCTGGTATGATAATGTCGTTAAACATGCACATAAATAAAAATGTATCTTGATCGAAGAAGCTTAATGTGCCATCCATGGCTTGTATACAAATGAGATGTTTGCTTTTTGAAGTACCAAAAGGACCACAAATGACGCTATAGGCTCGCCTTGTAAATGAATGTTTTATGACGGATATCAGGGAATTTTGTTCTCCTGAAATAAAAAGTCAATTATTAACTTTTATAATGTACTTAGGTATAAAGGCAAACAAAAAAATGCTTAAACGTGCAACAAGAAAAGCATATAAAATCAATTAGACCACACTAGGTACAAATTATACTAGGTATCGTAATCAAAACAAAAAGAATTAACCAATAATAATAAATAATAAAAAAAAGTGCATAGTTAGTAATACATTTTTCTTATCTTATGATTTCACTAAAAACATTTTGTTACCTATATCAATATGGCCAGTCTTTCTTTCTAAAACATAAACCTCGTAACTGTTTGGATGCAATATTATTATTTGTTGATCCGCGTTATCCCTTAAACATTTAAGGTCAATAAATTAAAAAATATAAAACATGAAAACAAAATGAATTAACAAACTTACATTAAAAACTTTCCAGTTTCTACTTGTAAAACTAGATCATTGAATTGATATTCTAAAAGTATAGGAGTATTATTATTTTGAACATTCGGTTTGTATATTTTTAATATTTCTCCCTGTACTACTATTATACAATCACTATCACTGTGTGAATTAAACTTCTCGACCTTAATACAAGAGCCATTTTGTATCCCCTCCTCAAATTCTTCATTTTGAAAATTACGGTTTGACCACCATTGCTTTAATTTAAAAATAGACATCTTATATTAAAATTTATTTAGAAACCCTAACATAAGGATTCCTACTGGTCGTTCAAGTTAAACAACTATTGTTGTTACTTAAACTTAACCATGGCAACCAATATTATTTGTACTCTCCATATATGCAATGAAATAATTATTTAGTACCTTAATATTAAATATTTACTTGAGAAGTTAGAATTAAATAGCAACTTAGTTAAAAGCTAAAGATAAGTATTTTTAATTATATTACGAACAAAAAAACTATTATATTTTATTATGTACTTAGAATTTTATATTATATTTAGACAGTAGGTCTTCTTTTATATATACATACGATACATACTCTGTCAGTCTTAATGAAAATATATTGTTTTTTCAGACTTGTGGACATGAAATGTAACGATCATATTGACAAAATTTTATAACATAAATATTAATATCTGTTCAACCAAAAGTTACGTAATATACATATACAGATTATGTATATATCGATTCTACTTATCAGCACGACCCTACACGCGCTTACAGCGTGTCCTCACTATTAAATGCTGAGAAAATATGATTGTGGGTAAATATATATAAGTATATAAATAAAAATTCCTGGTACAATACGAGCTCCTCAGTACCTCTTTAACCAAAAAACGATATGCTTATAAAAAAATTGTGTTCTGAAACATAGCTCGAGAAACAAAAAAAAATATTACGAACTTAAGAGTAGTTTACAAATTTTAATGCATAAATCCACCTCATTTATGTACTTAGGTTACACCTCTTTAAAATATTTATAAATTTATATATATATATTTTAAATACATAAAACAGATATACACTGGTCAATCATGTTATGTACCACAATTGTTTTAGCTATTATAGAAAACGCTTCACAGGTATCATCAAAGATATTATAAAACGTTCAATGAAACACAAGAAAACCTAAGCAGAATAATCCTAATTTAAAATAATACCATAATCTGTAGTTATGTTTTCAACGAACGAACAAAACCATAAAGATAAAAAAGACCAATGTATTTCTGCCGTAATATGAGAGGTTGTACAGATTAAATAATAACTCAGAATTTACAACGAATCTTATGTATCTGTGGTTTACGATGAAGGTTTGTTTTTTGTTTGGACAATTTATTATTTGTATTTTGTCGTGTAGACTGTGAAGACGTTAGAAGGTGGTGCTTGTTTTTACATTAGATGCCAAGGAACGTTCTTGAGCGAATAATTTCTAAATATATACATTGAGTTCTAAACTGGTCTATCATACACGAGTTGTTATAAACTACCTTTGAGATGGCTGATTCGGAGCCTCAAAATAATGGAAGTGTTGAAAAAGAACAAAGACCTAATGGTGGTGGAGATGAGGGCGACGCATGGGGAAGTCTTGACTCATCATCCGTACATCGATATGCCAAGATGCCCGTACACCGTAACGCTCAAAGGTACAACATGCAGCATCCGAAACGTGGTATGGCACTTATTTTTAATCATGAGACTTTTGATGTACACAACCTCAAACAGCGTACGGGGACGAGCGTCGATAGTGATAATTTATCCAAGGTTTTAAAGAGTTTAGGGTTTAAAGTAACCATACTCAATAACTTGAAATCCGAGGACGTTAACATGTATCTTCAGCAAACAGCTGAAATGGATCACTCGAATTATGACTGTCTGCTCATAGCTGTGCTGACCCACGGCGAAATGGGCATGCTGTATGCGAAGGACACGCATTACAAGACTGATAATCTATGGTACTATTTTACAGCCGATAAATGTCCCACACTAGCAGGAAAACCAAAAATATTCTTTATTCAAGCTTGCCAGGGTGACAAGTTGGATGGAGGTATAACTTTGTGCAACAGAACTGAGACAGATGGCTCATCCCACAGTGCTCCATATAAAATACCAATCCATGCAGACTTTTTGATTGTATTTTCAACTGTGCCTGGGTACTTCTCCTGGAGGAACACCACTCGCGGTTCGTGGTTCATACAAGCGCTTTGCGAGGAGCTCCGTTATTCAGGTACAGAGAATGACATCTTAACACTCCTAACATTTGTCGCTCAAAGAGTCGCTCTGGACTTTGAATCTAACACACCAGATGTTTTACCGATGCATCAACAGAAGCAAGTGCCTTGCATCACCAGCATGTTAACAAGGCTACTGGTTTTCGAAAAGAAACAAATGTAATTTTCCAAATATTTTTTATAGATTTATATTTTGTTATATTAGTATCAAACAGTACATAGCATAATATTTCTATTAACTTAAATAATAAGTTTTTCTATTTTATTTGGTGCATTTTATGATTAAAAATGTTTTAAACCGCAATACTCTTTAAAATTCTGATGAAAGCATTTAGTGTTGAGCGTGTTTTTATTTGATAATCAATCATAGTATGGATTTAATGCTTAAGCTTTATTTCATTAATGTTAAACTAAATGTAACAATATTAATGTAATATTAATATTTGTTGCTCATATAAGAATTAAACAATTACTAAAATTATGTGTAGATTATAAATAATTCAGAACAAATTATGCTCAAATATGCACAAGCTTTGTATAAGAGATTCTAAAGGAATTAGACGTAATAAAATGAAATTATCCATTTGTTAAGCTTTAGTACTTAAGGTCACTGCCAATAATTCTATTCTGAAAAAATGATTGCATGCTACAGTCAACATATCATGGGCTCAAAATGTTTGAAAATCCTTTTACTTATTACATTCAATCTTTGAAAGAAAGACTATTTAGTATATATTTTTTTTACATTAAGTATCTTTTAAGATAAAGCTTTTTAAGTTTCCTGTAGAGGTCAGCATTATCTGGTGCTGATGATAATGTAATAGTTGTTAATTGCCATTTTGTTGTAATTTTTATTTTGGTTTTTATTTTTGTTTGAAGCCATTATGTGTATAAGGCCACTCCTGTTATAACTATAATTGGAATGTGTGATACCTCTTTGGTAATGTACTGATTAAGATTGTGGTATGAAAATATTTCTTTGAAGAGATTGTTTTATAGTTTGTATAATTTGTATGAATTTGTGCCTTGAAAAAAGACATAGAATTATGTAATAGCATGAGAACAAAAAAATTACCGTTTTTACGAGAATCTCAAATCTCTTCATAGAAATTGTGATGTAATGCAGACATATTTTTGGTATTAAACACTATTTTTATGTGTCTAAGCAATAAATTTTTTCCATATTTGATTTTTTCTTTATTATATCATACCTTCTTAATTAACTTCTTTGCAAACAAATGTAGAGTAAAATGGTTAGTATAGTAGACTTGGACTTGAACAATTATTACAATACAATCTATTTTTTTTAGTCTCAATAATCAGTGACCACAACATGGAATTTTAATTGCTTTCTTACAGCCTGGTTGGGTCTGTGACGCGTTTTGGTCTATTATAGCTTAGGCTTTTTTAACATGTTCAAAGTTATATTAAATTTATTGATATTTCATTTAAAACAAATATAAGTACCTTCAATAAAATTATTATTCAAAAAACACAACTGTCTTAAACATCAAAGCGAATTAAAAATCCATTTTTTATTTTCTATCTTTCTTATTTTATATTTAGACGATGTATATTGGATTGCAATATCGAATTTTTTTTTTTGCATTTTAAAATTATTATTTATTTTATAAGGAATCTCTTACAAAAACTTAATTATTGATAATAAAAATAATATACAGCAGTTATGTAATTTTATATAAATCGAAGATTTTTGACATTACAATAATTGAATAAAAAAACGTTTTCTAAAATTACCCTCAAAATGTTGCTAGTATTGATCCCCTTACTTAGTGTTGTGCTGATGAACACGCAAGATGTAATATTGCTTAGAAAGTAAATATTGAGTAAAAAATAAATTCTTTTCATTGTTTAGAATTTGAGATATTTTTGAATATCTAAATGTAAATTATGATGTTTACTTAAGATATCCTATCAACTTTCTCTTTAGTAATTTACAGACGAACAAAACAAACTTTTTCTTTAATTACTTTATAAATATATCGTTATCATATTGTAATTACACGGTATATTTTCTTGGAAATACGGAGTATAAAAAGAAACCAAAAATATTGAATATGATCGCATTTGCTAAGGTGCAACAGTTTGAACAATATAAATGACAGATTTTCGTCAGTAATTTTAGATAGGTATTTGTTTGCTGAAATAAAATGGCTAATTATTTATTTTTAATATTTATTCAGACTTTTAACAGCTGTTGTATTAATAAATTCCCTCGCTGGTTCTATTTTGTAGGTATCAATATTTAATAATAATGATAGATATATTGAAAAGTTAATGAAAATATTTAATTAAATTGGAGTATATCTGATAACGTTTCAAGTACATTTGATAACGTATTTATAACAAGCTTTCAGTGGCATATAATATGTACTTACAGATACCTAGGTTGTTTATGATACATATAACATATGGTTATGTGTACAAGCTAGACGATAAATAACATGTGTTTATTATTTAATCTTTGTTGATCGATTCGAAAATTTTTCAAAATTAAATCCATAGCAAGGGTCTTTGTTTTTTACAAAAAAAAAAGCAATTTAATACGTGAAAAAATTTCGGAAGTAAGCACTAAAATTTTAGCTCGGTATGCTTAGGACGACTTAAAATTTTTACTGTTATAACCGAATTTAAGTTTTATTTATTATATAGGAAATAAACCAGCCATCCAAAAGGACAGATTTGTTACTTTGACGCATTATCAATAAGTAGGGTTCCACAACACAACCATCGCAGATAAAGCTGAACTGCTGATAACAATCGCTTAAAATATTACATGCAGTACATATTGTCAATTATAGATGTCTTAATCTTATTGAGCTTATAAAGACCAATATTTGATTTAGTATCTTTTTAGTTAAACATAAAAAATACAATTCATTCAATACTAGAAGGTTTAATAAAGTGAGAAGAGTAGAGTGGAACTACTGTCAGTTTAAAAAATTATTGTTGAAATAAAAATCCACTAAAATGGTATAGTAAGACTTCGAAATAAGTACGTAAATTTAAATATAAAGGCCAGTTATTAAATATTACAGTTACCTATCTGTCATATCCACTTTTGTATGATTTTTTTGTTTTCGAATACCTGTAGTGACTAGACCTATCATTTCACATGAAAACAAGTCAGCATAGATAAACTTTGTGCTACTTGGAGCTTAAAAGGGCGATACAAAACCCACAAAAGACAAAAACGCAAACGAATTTATTTTTGTTCTAAGTTACTCAAAAATAAAATCGTCAAAACTGTGATAGCTTTTGTCGTATGTATAAAGATTTTAAATTTTTTTTTCAGTACATAATTTAATCTAATATTGTTTTTTAATGTAATGGATATTTTTAACTCTATTTTTATGATTAAAAGTATGAATTTGATAAAGCTCTGGCCCGATAGCGCTACGTAAAACTCATTTTGTGTATTGAAACGCGGTGTAATGAGTGAAAAAAATACTTTTTTTTGAACTTTTACATATGTACACTAGATACCTGGAATGAAAGTATTCACACATCGGCTGATGGGTGATGCAACGCTTATGATAGTGTCGCAATATATTTTGCACTTGTGTACACTCGTGTCTAGACCGAGTGTATCTTATAGTGTGACAGTCTTATACATACCATATACTTCCTCGTACAATTTTTCAATGTCATGAGAATTTGATTTGTTAAAAATAGTTTTTGGAATTAAATAATATAGATGTAAAATATTTAAACACATTCTGTGTAATATCTATATTACCTTTGTACGTAATTTGTATTATTGAAATATTTTGAGATAAGGGCAAAACCGACCATTTTACCACAAGGATATCTATTATGGACAAAAGCAGTAAACAATTTTACCTATAATATAAATTCCCAGCTAGGTAATATAAATATTGGTACATAATTTACCATTTTCAATTATTAAGTATCATTGATGAACAATATTCTATTCTAAGATGTATTTATGCGAAGATTTATTTTTTTTATCGCTGTCGTCAGAATCAATATTTCTATTGATTAATTATATATTATTGGCGTAGTTCGAGGTAAAGGTCAATATGTTTTATTTTGAGTTCAATGACCGGCGGCTCGGATACAGATTCATTAGTCTCTTGCACAGAAATCAATAAACTTTATTCTCGACCTACGGTGTGTTTTAAAGTATTGCGTCATAATTAGTTAGAATTGATGAGTAAGATCAAAAGAAGTTTGGGGACCACTAACTTGTTTCCCATATGTTTCGAAGTTGATACTTCATTGATTACAGTAATAACTATTTATTTTACAATATCTACATATTTAATATTTACAGTAAAAGATTATTTATATCATCCAAGTTTCAAGTAGTTCCCGGCTGTACCTACAAGTGGGATATCAGATAACATTTTACAATTCAAATTTAATTCATAATATTTTATATTATTAAAAGGTTTAACGAGAGGTGGATATGAATAAAGACAATACGTACTAGAAACTTAAAAATTCTTTGTTATTGAAAAATAAAACACAAGATTAATATATGGTCAAATTAGTTCATGTTACAACTTACAGGGTAAATTACAGCAATGGCTTCATATTACTGCGACGAGTTTAGTAAATTCTGATACAATGATAACAAGGTTAGTCTAGACTCAAGCTTTTTATGTTATGTTAAAATATTAAATTCGTCTACAAAATCATTATATTTTTAGAAATTGTATATTTTTTAAAGGCTTTTAAAGTATAAAGAAGTTGTCCTTCACAAGTAGGTACCTAATACTTTGTGAACACATTTATACAATTGAATGAGATTTATTATTTCGTAGGAAGATGCTCGAACTACGAGCCATAAAAAAGGTACAATTCAAGTTTTGTATAGACTGCATAAAAACACTACCTAATTGTTAAATAATGTAAAAAGGACAAATATAAAAGTATGGTTTTAAGCAGTCTGTTCGCTCTGATCCTTAATGGTGTCAAGACACACTCCCAAAACTCTATTTATCTAAATAAAAAAAAAAACAGTAATAATATCTTCAATAATTAAAAAAAATACATGTCACATATTTATAATCAGAATATTATATAAACCTAATTAAAATGAAGCAGGAATATTCGAATAAATTTTCTATTTTCCTGGTAACAACTATGATGTATTATTATGCTATGTATACTTGA